GACCTTGAGCGATCCACCTGCCTCGGCCTCCCAGAGTGCTAGGATTACAGGCGTGAGCCACCACGCCTGGCCTCACCTCAAGCTTTTATCATTTCTTTATGTTGGGAACATTCCAATTCCACTCTTAGTTATTTTAAAGTATACAACAACTTATTGTTGACTATAGTCACCCTGTTGTGCTATCAAATATTAGATCATGTTCATTGTATCTAACTATATCTCACACTCGTTAACCATCCCCACTTCCCCCCCACTACAATTAACATTTTAATTTATACTAATCTAGTTCAGACTAATATCAACTATATTTCAATAGTATACAAAAAATTTGCTCCCCATAGCTTCATTAATGACCCCTTTATGTTATTATTGTCACAAATTGTATCTTTATACATTTTGTTCCCATTAACATAGAGATATTGTTTTTGCTTTATGTAGTGGTCTTTTACATCAGATAAGAAAAAGAGGAATTACAAACAAAAAAATACATTGGTACTATCTTTTATATTTACCTACGTACTTATCCTTTATCAGTGTTCTTTATTTCTTCATGTGAATTCAATTTACTATCTAGTATCCTTTCGTTTCAGCCTGAAGGATTTCTTGTAGGACAGATCTGCTAGCAACAAATTCCGTTTTTACTTATCTGGGAGTGTGTTAATTTTGCCTTCATTTGGAAAGCATAGTTTTGCTAGATACAAAATTCTCGGTTGACCGTTATTTTTTTGTTCACACTTTGAATATGTCATTCCATGCCTTCTTCTCTCCATGGTTTCTGATAAGAACTCATGTTAATCTTATGATAAATATTCTTTAATAAAATCATTTTAAATGGCTGCATTATTTTTCATCCTATAGATGTGCCATAATTTACTTAATAATTTCCTAATGATTTAATTTTTATAAAAGCTTTATAAATAAAAACATATATATGTCCCCTAAGTACTCCTTTTCTTTGTCGCTCTTACCGTGATATTCTGCACACTGAATGCAGATCTGAGTTATTAGGAATAAGTCAGGGGGTAGGGATGAACAGTGGTGGAAACAGTGGCAATTGACTATTAGGAAAGCCTCATGTGAGATAGGCTTCAAATATGGAAGATATTTTGGCATCACAGTCTGGGTAAAGGGCAGTGTGATTTTAAGTAATCTCCTCCTCTTACCTTTTTACCTATAAATGACTAACAGAACTTGGGCAATTATTAAATGGCCAGGAAACACAGTGTGATAAAGGGCACAAGCTCACCTTCTTGTCCAGACTGAGTTTGCTCCCTGACTCTATTTTTGTTGCACAACAGCTTTATTGAGATATAATTTACATACCATATAATTCATTAGTTTAAAGTGTATAATTCAATGGTATAGGAGTATATTCACAGAGTTATGCAACCATGATCACAGCAGATTTTAGAACATTTTGTTACCCCAAAAAGAAACCTAGTATCCTTTAGCAATAACTCCTTATCCCTTCTCCCCAATCCTAAACAGCCACTAATCTACTTTATGTATCTATAGATTTGCTTATTCTGGCTATTTCATATAAATGGAATTATATACAATATGTGGTCTTTTGTGAATGGCTTCTTTTGCTTAGCATTATGCTTTCAAGGTTCATCCATGTTGTAGCATGAATCAGTTCTTTATTACTTTATATGGCTGAATAATATTCCAATGTATGGATATAACACATTTATCCATTAATCAGTTGATAGACATGTGGGTTGTATCTACTTTTTTTGTTTCTATAAGCAATGATGCTATGAAAATTTGCATACATGATTTTTGTGGGCATATGTTTTCACCTCTTTTGAGCATATGTATACTCAGGAGTGGATTTGATGGATCATGTGGTAACTCTATGTTTAACGTTTAAGGGACTGCCAGATTGTTTTCTGTGCAGTGTCTGCAGTGTTTTATATTCCCACCAGCAATGTATGAGGGTTCTATATTCTCTATATCCTCTGCAACACTTGTTATTGTCTGTATTTTTTATTATAGCTATCTTGGTGTGAAGTGATATCTTGTTGTGGTTTTGATTTGCATTCCCCTGATGGCTGATGATATTGAGCATCTTTTCATGTGCCTTTTGGCCATTTGATCTCTTGTTTGGAAAAATGCCTATTCAGATCCTTTGTCCCTTTTTTTTTCTCATTGTTGCCCAGGCTGGTCTTGCACTGCTGGCCTCAAGTGATCCTCCTGCCTCAGCCTCCCAAAGTGTTGGGATTACAGGCGTGAGCCACCACACCCAATCAAAAACCTTTTAAAAAAACTACATTTGGGATTTTATTGTATTTAGTTCATACTCTTATTTTTATAACATTTAACCCATTATTAAGTATCCTTTATTCTGCCATTCTCTGCCTTTTAATTGGAGAGTTTAATACATTTATATTTCATGCAACTATTGATAAGGAAAAACTTCTGCCATTTTGTTATTTGTTTTCTATGCTTTATATCTATTTTTTGTTCCTCATTTCCTCCATTACTGTTTTCATTTGTTTAAACAGACATTTTCTAGTGTACCCTTTTAATTCTCTTGTTGTTTCTTTTATTATATATTTTTGAGTTCTTCTCTTAGTGGTGATTGCGTTAGTAATTACAATTAATATCTTTTAAAAATTTTTAATTATGGGTACCTAACAGTTGTATATATTTATGGGGTACATACATATATCACATAAATAAGTTTTGCTTTGATACAGGCATACAATGTGTAGTAATCAAATAAGGATAATTATGGTATCCATCACCTCAAGCTTTTTTTGTTTTTTTTTTTGAGACAGAGTCTCACTCTGTTGCCCGGGCTAGAGTACCATGGC